CAGATCAGAGCAAAACATCTGCAGGGCACAGGCACCTGCACTGAGGTGGGAAATGCAGTTTGTATAATGTGTCTTCTCTGCAGAAAAAGAGGGGGGGAAATATCTGGAGAGAGAGAAGAGATAAATAACTGAAGATTTGGTCTCATCTAAGGATTTATCTTTTTTCCTTCTTCCGAAGCAGTTACACAAACCTTTTGGAGAGAAGGAGGGGAAAAAGCAAAAAGCTTTTTTCGCTTTATGGTTTCTTTGCCACTAAAGCAAACCAGCAAATGAAGTTTTGCCATGTGCAGGGTTAAATGGAAACACACAATCAGACCAGAACTCGGGGGTAATTCAAGCCAGACGGTTTGTCTGTCTGTTGACTCGAAAGGTTGTATCAAGGCTTGGCAAGGGAGGGACTGAGAGGCTAATCCAAACTTTTTCATGATTCCTAAACCACTCCTTTGCAATTTGGATAGTAGATTTCTCTCTCATGCTGATTTCAGTTCAGGCTCTTTCTCTGTCTGCTTTCAGGTTGCTCACCTCCAAGAACAAGCAATACCCAAACTAAAGGGAAATACATTGTGAAAAAAATTGTGAAAACTCCTTTTTATTTTTACCTTTGGAGAAGCTGATTTCCTTCAGCAAGTGGGGGAAGGTGGAGAAAATGAAGCCAAGTCTGCGAGTTTTCTTCGCTACTTTTCTCTCATTGTTTCTGCAGATGGGACTTTGCTATGGGATCAAATGGATGTAAGTACTTGCTTATCTCTACATTTTTGAAGGCATTTCTGCTCTCTTACCCATTTGTACAACTGCTGTTTGAGGCATAGCATTTAAAGAGCAGCAAGAGCTGCAGTTCTGCAGGCATTCATTGATTTCAAGTGTGTGTATTAGAGGCTTATGCTAACAATATCTCCATCTTCTTTCCAAAATATGTATGATTCAGGCTCCTTTTTTTCCCCCCTCATTGATAATAAGGGAAAGGCAAACACTTGAATGCTCACATAAGCCACTTAATGAAGTTTCTAACTCCTGCCACGCTGGGAAACTCTCTGCCAGGTCGTGCTGAGTAGGAGCTGAGAGCAGTAGGGACAGCAGCTAAGATAATGCCACCAATCTCCAACCACGGGGGATGCTTGACGGATAACATGTTTTTTTCGTGGACCTTTTGACCTTTGGATTTGGTAAAGGTTGTTAAAAAGGAGGTGAGGAGGGGGGAGGAGGTTGAAGAAATACCAGGGACTGTGGTTAAGTCTGGATTGAGTTTCCTTGGAGGTAATATCACTGCAAACAAAGTGAAAACATCGCTATCTCATTTCTTTGCTTAAGCAAGCAATCAATTAGTTGCTTACTGCAAAAGAAACAAACAAGCCCCTTTAACACCAATGTGGTTTCATGTCCTTGGTGAGTGATCTCTTTTCTCCTTGTGTTTGGAGCTGGGCACAAAATAAATAAGGGGATGTGGGCTCGTCTTAAATGAGCATCTTTGGTAAAAGAAAAGGCACATGCAATGCCAGGAAGACTCTGTTGTGTAGGGTGTAGTGCTCTGAGGAGAGGATCTTTGGTTTAGGTGGTGAAACCGGGAGAAGGGGTTCAAGTTTTGTTGCTCCTTCTACCACAGACTCAATTCCACTGTCCCAGTCACTGTCATTTGAGGATTTCCCCATGTCACCCTTATGACAGGCTCTCTTAAATTTGGCTGTCTGCAAATTAAGGGTTTGGAGACAGTGTTTTGTCTGCCCAGCATGCAGTCAGGGGAGAGAGGACCTTCCAGATAGCCATTCACTCTCTCCAAAGACAGACATCCAACTGAAATATCAAGTGATGTCCTTTGGAGATGCCATGGACTGCAGGGAACTGCTTGAGGCAATGCATCCACCTTTTCTATCCATAAAGAGAAGCAGAGTGAATACCTCTGTACAGTGTTTAAATGCACATGGTCAGGTGGGAAAAATAGTTGCCTACCTTAGACCATCGTTCAAGGTGATCTAGTGGGTGACATCCCTGCCCATGGCAGGGGTTTGGAACCAGATGATCTTTAAGGTCGCTTCCAACCCAAACCATTCTTGACTCTAAGGACCATGTTGGAAGTAGAGGAGAGTTGGGATGTGATTTGCTCTTCACTGCCTTGGCTTTACACCTTGTAGCAGTCAGTGCAGCTCAATTACATAGCTCAGCTGCTTCTTTCTGCCACCTTCCTCCAGTATTTGGGCTCTGAGCTCTGCATATATCCAGCACCTTGCCCAGGGCAGGCATCTGCTGATGCAGGACATTTAACAACATGCCCATGGGACTCATTTGCAATGTTCATGTCTATGCAGCAGAGAAATACAGCTGGTTTGGGGCACCCTGGTTC